TATATATATATATATATATACAGTTGGTCCTCATATTACGCGGTTAATGTAACCCGGAGGGTCCCGCGGAAAGTGAGGAACCCGTAAAGTGAACAACATAACATATGGGATTAATTGAAATGGAGTCCAGGCCGATCCCCAAACTCCACTTTTTGACGACACACAACTATGTTGTAGTAAAAATTTTATCTTAACTTTATGATGGTATGAAAAAACAAGTAATATAGAAGAGGTTAGGTTAGGAAAGATAAAGGTTAACATAGGAAAAATAAAGGTTAGGTTAGAAAACTAAAAATTTTGTGTAACACTTACGGTAGTAGAAGAGATGGGTCGGCATACGGGGATGGAGGCTGGTTCCGAGGCAGAGGGCAGATTACTGGCCCTCAGGTGAATCACCATTACTAGGTGAATCATCATCACTGTCACTTACAGTTGTCAGGGCTTCCCTGACAAATCCCTCAAAGTCAACTTCACTGTCACTATCACTGGCTTGGGCTGGCTGTGGTGGATGCGTGTTTACACGGAGTGGCCTTGAGGGATGAAACTGTCGCGGCTAGGTCAAGCGTCGTCTTTCCTCCCTCCCTCCCTCCCCCGGGTGGACACGTCATAATACTTTAAGCCAATTACAGCTAGCAGCAGAGGAGGGTAGGGATGCATGGCCAATCACAGGTCTGATACGTCATATGACGTCAGTGATAACGCAACAAAGACACACACTGCGCAACCTTACCGCGCCGCTTGCCCAAGCGGAGGGAGGAGGAGGGAGAGGCAGGCAGGCGGGCGGGCGGGTGGCGCGTGGGCGAAAATCTAAAAATAGCGTCGCGCCGGACACACTCCGCGTAATGTAGAAAAAAGCGGAAGTGAATGTTAGGTTTGGCAAGGCACCGCTAAGAAACAATATATATATATATATATATATATATATATATATATATATATATATATATATATATATATATATATATATATATATATATATATATATATATATATATATATATATATATATATATATATATATATATATATATATATATATATATATATATATATATATATATATATATATATATATATATATATATATATATATATATATATATATATATATATATATATATATATATATACACAGGTAAAGGAAATAACTGTCTGTAGAACGAATGGCTCCCTGTCCCAGCCGCAAAAATGCCAGCAACTTTAAAACTACACGTAGACATTCTTGGGTACTGTACATCCAGGATGGCATCTGCGAATAATGGAGGACCGCGAAATAAAAATCCGTGAATTATCCAGGCGTACTGTATTATATTTTCCATATTTTTATAGTTTCATTACAAGTAACAATATACGAGGCGGCTGGGCTGACGAGTCGGCCACGTAGTTTATAGCCAAGGCTTTGGCTAGAACTGCCTCCATGCATGTTCACTTCTCACACATACACACACTTGCTCTTCTTTTTCTTGTTTTACATTATATTTTCTCTATTTTTAAGCCACAGAGTATTGTAAAGATTTTTTGACAACATTTATAGTTTCATTAAAAGCAGCAATAAAACGGTCGCTACGTTGGTGAATCAGATGTGTAGTTAAAGCCCACCACCTACACACACATTCACTTTTCACACATATACACACATGCTCTTCAATTTTCTTATTGTATAGTTTATATTATATTTTCTTTATTTCTAAGCCACATTGTTTATATAGAGTAGAATAATTGTTAAAGAAGTTTGATTTTCTGAGAGTTGCACCAGTCAGTAGGCTGACATGCGAATCAGCTGTGGCCTGGAGAGATGGTAATGTGTTTTGCCATGGTTACATATAATTAGACGTTAAAAGTTGTTAAAAATCATTTAAATTCTCTAATGTGACTTGGAAATAAAGAAAATATAATATAAAACTATCAAAAAAATCTGAAGAGCATGGGTGTATAATGTGTGGGGGGTGATCGTATGTGTGGAAGCAGTGGGCAGTTTATCAATAGCACTCTGGCGACTGCTGGTTAGGTCTACTGTCGACCCTCGTTAATTCGGACTAATAGGGAGGGAAGGGTGTCCGTTTTAGCCGATTGTCCGAATTAACCGATTTAGGGGTTAATATTGCATTATACAGCTATGTGTATGTTTACTTGAGTGCCCCGTCATAGGGGTCCGTTTTCTCTCACTTCAGGACGCCTGAGTCGTCCGTTTTCTCTTAACCTTAGAGTGCACCAGAGACTTCATTATTCCTTAGAAGTGACACAGAATTTGATATTGCAACTGGGGTTGCAATTGTTGAGGCAACTTAGGTATGTCTGATTACAGTTGGAATATTCAAGATCCATTGTGAGTGATGTTTAAAGCTTCAACTGTCTTTATGGTTGGTAAAACTTGTCAAGTCTGTCAGTCTGAGTGGCATGTGTAAGGCCTTGTGTTTGTACAACCACTAAATATATAAATATATAATGTTATGATAATTATCAGAAACACACACAGGCATGACTAGGTTTATTACAAAGTGATGAAATGGATACTGTACAGTGGGTAGTCCACAAAACATGTAACCATGTCTCTTTATTTGAGTGCCCCATCATAGGAGAGTGCGTTTTCTCTCACTTCAGGACGCCTGAGTCGTCCGTTTTCTCTTAATCTTAGAGTGCACCAGACTTCATTATTCCTTAGAAGTGACACAGAATTTGAAATTGCAACCCCAATTACAACTGGGACAATACCAGAACCAGAAATTTGATATGGACAGTTCAGATTTTGTCCGAATTATCCGAAATCCGGATTAAAGGGGTCCGAATTAACGAGGGTCGACTGTATTTCAGTTAAAATGTGCACCACACAACCACCTCTGGTGTAAGGTTACTTTATCCTCTTTGCTGCTGATTATCAAGTTGATTTCAGCAGAGATTATTAAAGGAAAATAATGAAAGCATTAAAAAGAAAAAATTACTGTATACAAGATGGTGCACACACCGCATCGCATCCCTGCTGGGATGTGATGCCTCTGCTGACCGACCCTTAGCAATTGTTGCCAATTGTCAGTCGGCAGAGGCACACAAACCAAACCCCCTCCCCTGCTCAGTACATGCGGCAGCTGAGGCCAAGAGAGGCACGAATAGAAGTACGTCCTCCAGCCATACGATCCTACTCACTATCCCCCTCCCCCCTCAAAGCCAAGCATGTCAAGTTAAATGCACTTAAGATGCGACATGACTGTACTTTGAAAGGAGTGGAAAGCAACCACATTTCATGACGACTAATTATCAAATGCTTTAAACCTTGCCTTCTTGTGAACTAGGCAGCACCACCAAGAAAACTGCCAAGCTTATGATGATTCTAGTTCCATGATAAAAACATGGCTGCCTTTGTTATCTTTGATGGCTGACAAATGTGGTGCTGCATCATGTTGGGACACCCAACATGACAGTGATATGCACTTTTCATATGCCATATGACCCGGGTTGGCATTGATTAAATAAATTTGATTTAATCACTTGATTATTTTTTTTTTCATAAAAAAGTTAACGAAAAATTTTTTTTAAGGTTTATAAAAGAATTTCGTTGTATAATTTTATGCTGGGATTTAAAGTCATGTCATAATAATATCAGTTTATTATGATTTTTCTGTGTAATATATTTAGCTTTGAACTATGCTATCTTTAGGAACACTGGCAACTCAGTCTGGACCACCAGTGGACAGACAGGACATGAACAGGAATGTATCTGGGCTGTGGCTCTTAGCCTGAACCAACAGTGGACAGACAGGACATGAACAGGAATGTTATCTAGGCTGTGGCTCTTAGCATGAACCACCAGTGGACAGACAGGACATGAACAGGAATGTATCTGGGCTGTGGCTCTTAGCCTGAACCAACAGTGGACAGACAGGACATGAACAGGAATGTTATCTAGGCTGTGGCTCTTAGCATGAACCAACAGTGGACAGACAGGACATGAACAGTATTCAGTTTACTGTACTAGAAAAAAATAATGAAAAATATATAAATAACAAAATCAAATGAATAAAAAAATCGAAAAAATTTGATTTAATAAAAAATCTCATGATTTTTTTTCATTTATGTAAAAAAAAAGGGTATAATCATTAAGTGATATTAGTTAGTTATATTAATTAGAGCATGGTCTCACTTAAGATGCATAATTTACCCAGTACTAAAACATCATGATTTTAATCGTCTTTTATTGAATGACTGATGGAATCCAACTATGAAAATTACATTTAAAAATGTTCAAAGTCAGTGAAACAAACCCCCATCCCTCATAACTGTGATTAACCTCAATAATCTCCCAATCCTTGTGAAGTTCAGAAATAGAGCATGAGGGTACAATGTAATAAAACTTATTTGTGTACAGTACACAACACCTAAGTACTACACAGTGGTGATCTCTACTGCTCTCTCGAGTTTCTACTGATTAATTCTAGTGTTTGTGAGAAATACAATGCAACTGGCAGCCTCCTAAATATTTGATGTACTGTACATGTTAGCTGGACTTTTAACTCATTTACAGCAGCTGAAATAATGATTTATGAGTCCAGTTAGTCCCACACATCCATTAAAAAGGTTCAGTATGTCTAAACTCTTCACTGCATATCTCACAAAGTAGACCCCCAACAGATTAATACAAACTAACTAAAATGTTTCTACTACAGCATTGGCCTTCCTAAAGAGACTAATAATACCTTGAGCAATAATTACCAGTGACCAAGATCGTCTGTACAACTTTCAGTTATTACACCCTACTTTTGCGCACACATGAATGCAGACATTACATGCATATATACATGCTTTACAACTTAAGCATGCTTTATCAGGTTCAGTCAAATATAAAAAGGCATACAAAAACACACACACATTAAATAAAACAGAAAATGGTATCACTTTTTAGTGCTAATATTAGGGTTACTTTAATAATTTTCAAAAACATATGAAAATATATACAGTCAACATTTACCATTAAGGCTTCACTATGTATCTTCTTTTCAGGTACATACCCAGTTCCAAGTGAATGACCCCAGACAAATAAAGGTGAAGAGCCAATTCTCTCTCTTATGTATCGATACACAACTTTTGCATCATGGACTACACCAAGCTCATTTGGCTGTACTGGAGAGGAGTCTGCATATCCTGTAGAAAATAAAAACATTGTTATATATGAGCACCAAGTGCGACAGGAAGCCAAGCGCCAAAAATCACAACTGAGAAAAATGCTCTTAAAGTTTGGAAATTCAAAATTAGGTAACTTTTTAATTAATGAAGATATTGAATTCATTCACGTGGCAGTGTGTAAAGCTCTTAAGGGGAGAGTTTGGTATTATCTTCGCATTTTCAAATTACGACCTGGATTTGGGTCTCTAACCCTGTCGTAGTCGAGGAGTTTCTATATACATATACAGTCATGCGCAGGTTAACGTCCTAGATACTTTCTTGAAAACGTGACGTTAACCGAAATGGACGTTGTCCGATCATCACATAAACTTCTTATTTATACTTACGTGTGTATGGAATACTATATACGTACATATACATTTTTACTCTTAAATCACTACTGTAATGTGATACAGGTGATTAATTTTTATCTCTTGTGCAAAATACATGACGTTTATATTAAAATTATTCACTGTTTTACAAGGATTCCAGCAACGCCAAGCAGATGGGGGAGAGAGAGGGTGGGAGGGAGCGTGGGGGGAGGGGAGGTAGTACGTTTGACAGTTGGCACAGGCCCAGGTCTAATGCGTGTATATTTATCAGTTCTTAGGTGACTAAGCTTCTCTCTCTTCAAAAGCCAGTGAAATGACCTGGGTGAATATAATTAACATTGCTGGGATTCTTGTAACATACTGATTAATTTGAATATAAACATGTTATAATTTGCACTAGACAAAACAATTTTAGTACCGTAAAGAATTAGTACATGTGCACTCCAGCTTTGCACTAACGTCATTTATTTCTATTACGTTTCTTTTACTATGGTGTGTGCATGTAAATGGATGAAAATGAATGAAGAAATCTATGTAAATCTACCCCAAAATACAGTTGAAAAACTTTTTTATAAAATGTACTGCAGTACTGTACACTAATGTACAACAATTTTTATCTCTTGAGCAAAATATATGACGTTTATATTCAAATTATTGGCTGTCTTGCAAGGATTCCAGGAATGCAAATTATAATCTCCTAACTTTAGTCTGAGATATTATATAAGATAAAAACTGTAAGCCTAAAACCCTGGCTGGGGGGGGGGAAGACTGACGGAGCCAGCTACACCACCCAGCGAGGGATTGGGGGGGGGTGGGGGGGTTGAGGTGATAAGTTTGAGGCGAAGGTCTCTGTGTGTTTATTTAACAGTCCTACTAAGCTTCTCATTTTAAAATGCCAGTGATATGACCTAGGAAAATATAATTAACATAGCTGGGATTCTTGTAAGATACTGATTTATTTGAATATAAACATGTTGTAATTCGCACTAGACATAACAATTTTAGTACCGTAATCAAATTAGTACATGTGCACTCCAGCTTTGCACTAATTTATTTTACGTTTCTTTTAGTATGGTGTGTGCATGTAAATGGATGAAAATAAATGAAGAAATTTATGTAAATCTACCCAAAAATACAGTTGAAAAACTTTTTATAAAATGTACTACAGTATTGTACACTAATGTACTACATTTTTTATATCTTGAGCAAAATATATGACATTTATATTCAAATTAATCTCTGTCTTGCAAAAATTTCAGCAATGCAATTTATATTATCGTAACTTTAGTCTGACATATTATATAAAATAAACAAAGAAATCACCAATCTTTTATCTTGAACACGAGGGGTAGGGGAGGGGTAGGAAAGGGAGGGGTGGGGTGAGGGGAGGGGTAGGGGGGAGGGGGGCAGGAGGTGAGGTGACAGAATGTCTGGAATTTGTTTGTTTATTTATTTGAGATAAGATTTGACAGTTGGCGCTGAAGGCCTGCCTGTGTGTTTATTTATCATTACTTAAGAGTGACTAAGCTCTTCTCATAATTTTCCACCCAAACGACCTGGGTGAATATAACTTACATTGGAGGGATTCTTGTAAGATAGTAATTTATTTGAATGTTTTTTTTTCAATTTAAATTTTAATTGTTTATTCCTTGATAGAGGAAGCGGGATCCTAGTGCTGTCACTTGGTACCCCTGTACCATAACACCAGAAGCAACTGGCCAGTGTCACAAGTATATACAGTCATCCCTTGGTTATCGCGCCTAATTGGGACCCCGCCGATAACGAAAGTACAGAACCTATGGGATTTATTCTAATTGATTCCAGGCACCCAAGACCCAACCCCAAGTTTCCCATTTTGGGACCATTTAGACCCACTAAATATATATATAATGTTATGGTAAATATCATAAACACACATAGGCATGGCTAGGTTTATTACAAAGTGATGAAAAGGGTACGCTTAATACTGTAGTCCACAAAACATGTAGCTATGCTTTTTTTATTTGGTCCCCCATCATACGAGTCCGTTTTCTCTCACATCAGGACGCCTGAGTCCTCCGTTTTCTCTCTTAATCTTAGAGTGCACCAGAAACTTTACTATATTTAGTATTGCCACAGAATTTGAAATTGCAACCCCAATTGCAACTGGGGTTGCAATTGTTGAGGCAACTAGATATGTCTGATTACAGCAAATGTGTTATTGTCAATTTGTAGGTGAAAGATTTTATCCTCAATAGATGTAGGTTAACATTTCACCTGTGAAATGGGTGGCGTAGCTGGCTCCGTCAGTACCCCACATACACATACACATTATACCAATGCATTTTTATATAACTTATTGTTGGTCTTAGTCATTATACCAGTGCATTTTTATATACAACTTATTGTTGGTCTTAGTCATGTAAATAAACAGAAAACTCTAAACTTTAATGAAAAGTAAGTTTTAAGAAAATTTTGTTTGGCGCACACCTTGGATGACATCCTGGTTATGAACTTATGCAGTACTTAGCATAGCCAAATATATTAACAAATAAATCCTAATTAAATTAACAAATAAATGAGAAATGAAATTATACATTAGTTTACAATTACATTCTATGATTCTTTCAACATACACTGACTGTCTGTATTTACTGTAAAAAAAAGTATTAAACTTTAATAATCGAAAAATTCCATTCACGTTTACACGTACTAACACGCAGTCAGCCAAGAGTGCCTGACTGGCTGTTGGAGGCACGCGTCGCGGCATCACACGCTTACAACAGACAGGAACAAACATGTATAAATTTTGTTAGCGGACTTAAAGTTAGCGGAAGCTAATTGGTCCGCTAATGGTTTTCAAAGTTAGCAAAAACGCTAATCTGCTAACGAGAAAGTTAGCTTCGCTAATTAGCGGTTAGCAGGTTAGCGGAACAGTGCCCACCACTGGGTATTATTACCTTAAGCATGAGTACAATATTTCTTATTCCTTCACTCATTTATATACCACTTATATGTTTTTGCTGGTTATGGATGTATTCTGTGATAAAAATTACTTTATTAATATGACATTCATTAAAATAGGATAATAATTCGTGATAGTATGGGGTAATGAGGTATACAGTAGTGGGTTACACTTATTTGCATTCTTTATTATTTTTATATTTATAGACACCACATACTTTAAACATCAATATCAATGTATTAAAAAAAAGGGGGGGGGGGATACCTTTAAAATCAGACCTCGCTCATCGTGATAGGTTAATATTTGGCAAAGTTATGGCTATTTACAGTACGGAAAACTTTAATCCCAATTATCTCAAAATTTTATTTTGGCGGGCTCGTCATTATCGCACGGAACGCCTCATATACTGTATGTACTGTACAGTAGTATATCAAAACCAACAGTGAAAAATCTCACCTCTGTAATCAAATGCCACAACATGATAATCCATCTTCCTCAGAACTTTGTAGAGTTCAATCCTATGTGCAGTTGCACGAGATGAGGTGTTCCCATGTAGGTATAAAATTACTGGTCTTTCATCACCTAAACTTTTTTCATACCAAGCCACATGATCAGCAGTCTCCTCTTTAGGAACTGAAGAAATGAGGGACCCTGGTAATACGTGCCTGAAAAACAAAAAATCATATGATCTATCTATTTTCAGGGTTTTTTAAGATGTTTCCTGCTTCAAAAAGAAGCACCTATAAATACCAAACTGCAATACTGATGAACACAGTGCCAGAAGGCTACGAGCTATATTTATATGCCATTGGTGTACTGCATACCGTATATCTCGGCTTATAAGACGGAATTTGAACATTAAAAAAAATCTGTCCAAAGTTAGGGGGTCGTCTAAACCACCAAGTATAAAATTCTTACCTCTTAAATATTGTGGTTTAGTGTGTCAAGAGTGGTGATGGAAACATCGTAAGCGACTCACAAGGTCTTACCACTAATTATTTTATACTGAAACTTACGTTTGGCAAGCTGGATTCAAATTAAGATTACCGGTATATTAAAATAATAAAAATGTATTATAAACCTGTCTAACATACCGTAAAAGAGAATTATACTCCTGTAATAAACACAGCTATCATCACACACCCCTCCCCACGCCCCCCCCCCCATTTGCCAGTGAGGAGACAAAAAAGGGAAAGTGACCGCGAGATTGGGCTATTTTTAGCCGTGGAGGTGGTCAGTAATGCATATCGGTATATTTACTGATAATAATACTTATCTCCTATAAATAATTAATTTAAAATTTATTTTTTTACAAGAAATATTCAGTAAATGACTGCATTAATTCTTGAAACTACTGACAGTTAAATACAGACGCTTAAGTGACGTCACTAGTGTTTACACTACACCAGCTGGTAACATTTGATGCCATTACTTGAAGTGAATTGGCCTTATTTTAAGTAACTAACCATAAATAAATACAAAAAGTAAAAAAAAGATCAAAAGTGAGAAATAATATACTGTATGTATGTTGTGTTGTCAAAGTTAGAGGAACAATTCAAACTGCAATTGTGTGTAAATGAGGCAGAAAGTCAGGTGAGCGCTGAACCTGGGACTTGGTCACAATTTTCGTGATGCCATATGGCAGCAGGGTCTACCATTAGACAACACATTATGCTTCCAATATCTTCCCAGGAGGTAGTATCTACCTGTTTGGTAGCTGCCTACTACCTAAACAATTTTTAATAATACAGTGACCCCTCGTTTAACGAACACCTCGGTTAACGTAATTTCGATTAACGAACTGCCTTCCATAAGGATCTTCAATTCGTTTAACGAAAAAAATTTCGCTTAACGAACTTCTTACGAACCGACCTCAACATGTTTTCGCTTGCACTGACCGGGCAACCAGCTTTAGTATCAGTCCGCCAATACATTAATCGGTTCTAGGGCTTAAATTCCTTACTATTTTTGTAAATATCAAGAAGTTTATACTATTCAATAATTTTAAAAGTTTAATATTCAATTTTTTAGTCATTTTAACAATTATTGAACAAAATTGAAGGTAAAGTGACTAGTTTAATGCGCGGCATCCAGCCTCTTAACACAGCAAACAGGCGTCAGTCTCTCTCTGTTTTCACTGGAGGTAACATCTTGCTTGAGACTCTCTTCAACTAAACGCTTTTTTTCTGTGTTTCCAAGCAAATTATTGGTCATTTTGAAAATTATTTTACATATTGACAATATATAGTGCAGTGCAGTGTTATTTTAAAGAAAATATTCTTTATTTACAGCTAGTTTAACTTTGAAAAATACGTGTTGCCATTGTTTGAATCCAGCATGGGGCCTAAGAGATCAAGAAAAGTGATTTCAATCCAAATAAAGCAGGAAATAATAAAAAAACACGAACAAGGTATTAAATCAAATGCGCTATGCAAAGAATATGGCATGTCGGCATCAACTGTGTCGACAATTCTTGCACAAAAAGACAAATTTAAGGAAGTGAACGTGAGAGACAAATCTACAAGAGTGTTTAAAAGTAGATCCCTAATCGTAGAAACTGAGAGGTTACTTATCATCTGGATTAGGGAAAAACAGATGAAAGGTGATTCAGTTTCTGGTGATTTCATTTGTGAAAGAGCCAGGGAGATTTATGAACATTTAAAGACAGATCAACCTGGTTCTTCAGGAACAGAATTTGAAGATTTTCGGGCTAGCAAAGGCTGGTTCGAAAAATTTAAGAAAAGAAGTGACATTTTAAGTGTTGTTAGGCATGGTGAAGCTGCTAGTGTTGATAAAGAAGGGGCAGCAAAGTTGTTAATTGAATTTAAAAAACTGATGGAAGAAGAAAATTATCTTCCACAGCAAGTGTTCAATGTTGACGAAACTGGGCTGTTCTGGAAAAAGATGCCCAAAAGAACATTCATCACCAAGGATGAAGCCTCTTTACCTGGGCATAAACCCATGAAAGACCGTCTCACTCTATTGCTTGGTGCCAATGCTTCAGGGGATTTCCGGCTGAAGCCTATGCTTGTCTACCACTCTGAAAACCCCAGGGTGTTCAAGCAACAGAAAGTGGTAAGAACAATGCTTGGAGTTTATTGGAAGTCCAACCGTAAGGCATGGGTGACAAGACAGTTCTTTAATGAATGGGCTGTTGATGTGTTTTGCCCCTCTGTCAAGAGCTACCTAACCACCAATAAACTTCCTTTAAAGGCTCTTCTCCTCATGGATAATGCTCCTGGTCATGACCCTGACCTTGCCAGAAATTTGGAGTATCAATTTGACTTTGTGAAAGTGTTGTTTTTGCCTCCAAACACTACATCACTCATACAGCCAATGGACCAGAATGTGATCAGCAACTTCAAGAAGTTGTACATGAAGAAAATGTTTAGGTGTCATCATCAGGCAACTTCCATTGATCCTGAACTAACACTGAAACAGTTCTGGAAGACACAATTCAACGTCCTGGAGGCTGTAAAATTGATTGTGTCATCATGGCAAGAAGTCTCCAATAGAACCCTCAATTCTTCATGGAAAGCACTGTGGCCATCAGTAGTCCATGATTTTGAGGGATTTGAGGATGACACAGAGTTGGACCAGGAGATTGTGTCCATTGGTCAGTCATTGGGTCTTGAAGTGGAGGAGAAGGATGTGGAAGAGCTTGTGATGTCTCATGAGGAGGAACTTACTCCTAATGACTTGAAGGAACTGGATGAGATGTTACGGGTAGAGGCTGACAGTGGTGAGGAGGAAATTGAAAGTGATGACCATATGTCAGCTAAACAGTTGAAAGATGTGATTTACCACTGGGAGAAGTTCAGGGAACTGGCTTCAAAGCACCCAGAAGTGGAAAAAACTGAACTAACTTTGTGTCATGTTGAGGACTCAGTGGTCTCCTTCTTTAAACATAAGTTAATGGTGAGGAGGACAGATGCCCCACAGACCACAATTGACACTTTCTTCAGTAAAAGGCAGAGGGAACAAGATGCTAGCCCTCAGCCTTCCACTTCAAGAAGGAGAGAGGATGTTCATGGTGGAGAATCTGTCAGTCCAGAGGTTCCTGACATATTCATGGAAGGTGACTCACCTTCCAAGAAGCAGTAAAATGCTTCTCCTCCACCTCCACTTCCTTCTCTTCTCCCTTCTCCTCCTGCACCTCCCACTTCAAATGCACATCATTACCATCATCCAGGAGCCTTCTACATACACACCTCAAAGTAAGTAAATTTTTCCGCCATTTTTGTTGAAGTTGGGAAATTTTCGGTGAGCTGGAACCAATTCCCCAAAAACCCATTGAAACAATGGTTTCGGTTAACGAACGTTTCGGTTAACGAACGACCTTCTGGAACGGATTGAGTTCGTTAACCGAGGGGCCACTGTATTACTTTGATACATGATAAATTAGACAATGAAAATAAACATCAAATTTAATTACCAAGACGCTTCCCATTGGCAGCTGTAAGAAGAGGGGGAGATGGGCTATTTTTATCCCATCTTTGTGTCTGAAGTGGCCAGTAATACCATATATTTACTGATCATAATACTTACGGTAACTCCTATAAATAATTAATTTAAAATTTATTTTTTACATAGAATATTCAGTAAATGACTTTTAAATAAATAAACAAATAATTCGGTAAATCTATTTCAAGTAAATGGAAAATAAGCAAACAAATGTTATTTACCAAGACCCTTCCCTCTGGCTCAGGGTGAGATGGAGGGGAGATAAAGAAGGCTATTTATAGCCCGTCTTTCTGTCTGACGTGACCAGTACCCTAATGCACCATAAATAATTCATTTAACATTTATTTTTTGTATATATATATATATATATATATATATATATATATATATATATATATATATATATATATATATATATATATATATATATATATATATATATATATATATATATATATAACCTAACCTCTTCTATATTACTTTTTTCATACCATCATAAATGAAATTTCACTATGATCACAGTAAGTGGGGGTACAACTGGTTTATATATATATATATATATATATATATATATATATATATATATATATATATATATATATATATATATATATATATATATATATATATATATATATATATATATATATATATATATATATATATATATATATATAATATACAGTTGTACTTACCTAATAGAACCCAGAGGGTCCTGTTAAGTGAACTCTATGAACAACAGAACATATGGGATTAATTCCAAAACCAGCCAACCAAATCACTTGAAGACAATAACTATGTTGTAGTAAAATAACATCTTAATTTTATGATGGTACATGCACACAATTAATACTTAAGAGAAATAGAGAAATACAGTCGCCAAGTTAATGTCCATTCAAATAATGGACTCAACTCCCTCCCCCTCTTCTCACACTACACTGCTGGCTCTTCCCTCTCTGAGAAATTTTTTGGGGAAAACCACTAAATTTTAATAAATAATACCTCAAACTAAAGTTAGGATAATACAATTGACATTGCTGGATTCCTTGTAAGACAGGAATATTTTGAATATAAATGTCATATATTTTGCACAAAAGATAACATATTTACTCAGAGAAAACATTTTATCTAAAATTTGTATGTCTAATGCAAAATATATGATGTTTATATTCAAAATGATCACCAAATTATAAGAATTCCA